TTTCTCCTTTATTAAAGTAGCCACCCATTTAGGCTTGTGTCTGGCTACTGTGGTACCCGAGGCTTCCCCAGTGTCCAGTCTCCTCAGTGTGCGACAGGCAGTAGCAACGAATGGCCACTTCCCTGGCATGTGGACAGTTCTGTAGCAGAACATTTCCAACGAGAAACCCACCTGTGAACAGCTTTCCCGGCACCTTGGGAGGAAAGTTTCAGGGGCCAGGTTTCCAGCAAGTCTGACGGGCACCACAGCAACTTCTGATATTCAGGGAGCTACACTCTTTCCAGCAAGGTTTCGATTTCATTCCTGGGTCTGGGTGGGTAGATGGGAGTCTCTTCCTCAGAGGCTGTCTCAGCCTAAGACGTGGCAGCTGCTCTGTATTTCTGCCATTCCTGTATCCTTTCAAGTTCTCTGTGCGTCTTGTTAGATAGGCTCTCATTAGTGCAAACCCTGCTATAGTTAATTATTATTATTATTTTTTATCCTCACCTGAGGACATTTTTTCATTTTTTGTTCAGATAGAGTGGGCGGGAGAGAGAGAGAAACATCGACGTGAAAGGGACACAGCCAGTGGCTGCCACCCACACGACCCAACCATGGCCGGGGACAAACTGCAACCGAGATACGTGCCCCTAGAGGGAACTGAACCCAGGTCTCTCTGGACCGCAGGCCGACGCTCTAACTGCTGAGCCAAACCAGCCAGGGCGAGTTAATGATTCTTTACATTAAACTTTCTCTGTTCAGGTTACTGTGGTTTCTCTCTCCCGACTGCACCCAAACTAATACACCTTTCTAGACCTGCCTTATCCAATATGGTAGCTACTAGTCCCTGAGCACTTGAAATGTGGCTGGTGCCAAGGAGAAACTAAATTAAAACAAAAACCATAAAGATTTATTTCTTAAATTAATTATTTTTTTAAATTAATTTTTTTTTTAAAGAGAGAGGAAGGGAGAAGGAGAGAGAGAAACGTCTATGTGAGATCGAAACATCAATCGGCTGCCTCCGGCACGCTCCTACCTTGGATCAAGCCTGCAACCCGGGCATGTGCTCTGACCAGGAATTGAACTGGCAACCTTTTGGTGCATGAAACAATGTCCAACCAACTGAGCCACACTGGCTAGGATTAAATTTTTTATTTAATTTAAATTAAAATACTGAATCTGTAAATTTTTCTATTATTTTATTATATACAAAATATCTCTAACATTTTATTATATTAATTACAAGTTGAAATGACAATATACAGGATGTAGTGGGTTAAATATATTAAAATTATTTCCACTTGTTTCGTTTTACTTTTTTTTTTTAATTTATTTTTTTTATCCTCACCCGAGGATATTTTTCCATTTTTTGTACAGATAGAGTGGGAGGGAGAGAGAGGAAGGGAGAGAGAGAGAGAAACATCGATGTGAAAGGAACACATCGAGTGGCTGCCACCCGCACGACCAACCAGGGCCGGGGACAAACTGCAACCGAAGTATGTGCCCTTAGCGGGAACCGAACCGGGTCTCTCCGGACCGCAGGTCGACGCTCTAACCGCTGAGCCAAACTGGCCAGGGCTCGTTTTACTTTTTAATGTGGCTAACTAGAAATTTTGAATTTCATTTATGGCTTGAACTCTATTTCATATGACAGCCCTGTTCTACACCCACTTTCCAGAGAGGCTTTCTCAATTTTCCTAAGTAGACATGGCTTCTGTCTCCCCCACAGCTCTTTGAATTTCTCTTAGGCTATTTGTGGGGGACATGTACTAGTTTTTCATCTGCCAGCATCCAGCCTCGGGGGAAATGTCCCATGGTGCTAGCCTTGATGAAAATTAGAGGCCATGTCCCACTAGAGAAACCAGAGGGCTTGTCCCTGCTCGCCTGAGGGAGGAACCAAATTCCTCCCTTAGAAGCTCCTTCCTGACACTTGAGCCAGCCTTACAAAGGATCAGTTGAAGGTCCTGTTTCTTAAAGCTGCAGCAGAGTATGGCAGCTACACTACGCTCGCTCTTTCTGCTGTATCACTTTTGCAGTGATTTCTGCTTCCTAGTTTTCCAAATTGATTGGAAATCAATCAGTGTGATTACACTGATTCTCACCAACGATTCTGCGAGACACTGAAATCTGTCTAATAAATTCCCCTTTTCCTTAGGATTGAGAGAGGCTTTTTCTGTTGTCTGCAACCAAGCATCCTGATACCGCACTGATGCTGCTTTATGCTGTCTCACATTTAATTCTAGCAAGTTCTAGGCTATGGGGAAACTCTCAGAATTGAAGCATAAACTGAAGTGTCAGGTAGGAGCCAGCCCTACAGGTCTAGGAAGCCATCACCAAGGTAGGTGTACATCAATACTTTTCAGTCCTTGGTCATCACTTTGTTCGTTCCAGGAATAGAGTACAACGGACCAGCCTAGGTTAGGGGTCTGTGGTAGGCTGAAAAATGGCCTCCATGCCTTAATCCCTGGAACCTGTGAATGTGACCTTACATGGCAAAAGGGCCTTTACAGATGTGATTAAATTAAGAACCTTGAGGTGGGGAGTTTGTCTTGGATTATTTGGGTGGGACCAATATTATCACAAGGATCCTTAGAAGTGGAGAACCTTTCTCAACATGAGAGATGTTATAGAAGTAAGATTAGAAAGATGTTACAGATGTTACTGATTTGGGAGATGCAGGAAAGAGGTCACAGCTGAGAAATGCAGGCAGCCTCTAGAGGTTGGAAAAGACAAGGAAATGGGTCTTCCTTAGAGATTCCAGAAAGGAATGCAGCCCAGTGAGTTTTCTGACATATAAAACGGTGTTGTTTTTAACTCATTAGGTTTGTGATAAACTGTTAGGGCAGCAAATAGAAAACTAATACAAGGTGCCTCACTCCCTTGAGCTGGAGAGGACATGGCTTTGATCAACAGTTTTATCAAGGCTGCATCCTTGGAAAGTAGCGGGGAGGTTCCTGTTTGAAAAGCAGGTGCTATCAGCAAGTGAGGGAAAGGATACTGAACAGGCAAAACATGGCTGCCCACTGCCACCAACCACCACAGCCCCTTATACATCATTTAATCGAAATTTGTCCAAGTGAATTTTTAGGGCCAGCAACTGATTAGGCTAAAATCAGTTGGGTAAGAAGCCTTGAGGAAATAGAAAACGTTATAAAGAATGTAAATCCAATTATTTGTGTGTGCAAATATATACTGTATAAGTTATATGATATATATGTCTCTCTCTCTATATATATATCTATATATATACACATCTTAAACATTCCAAATTGTCATAAAGGTTCTCATGAAACTTGAAAAGGAGATTCCTCCTTAGTAAAGATGTAGTTAATTCAGCCAGCTGCCCTAGTACTTAGACACATGGACCTGTTCCATAAAAAGAATCACTGGCTTAGTCACTGCTCACTAATTAGTTGCTGATAAATGAGAGGCACTAATGGAGACCTAGAGGCAATGAGATGGAAGTTACATAGTCTACCAATCTAAGAAGGCAAAACATAACCAGGAGAGCCGAAAGAAGCAATAACAGAAATTTACTGTGCCTGTCTACACACCAGGATGTGGTCACTTAAGGTCACTAGAGGGTCAGAGCAAAGTGATACAAATCAAGTCAATGGAAAAGCCAGAGCTGATGCCCAATACATCCTTGGCTTTGGAACATTTGTTCTGGCCAGGTGGCAGTCTAACAGTAGGTAATGAAAATAACACTTTGAATCTGGTAGAATGTGACTCTAAAGGGGTCATTATTGTCAGCTCATAATTCAGTTAGGAGGTTTTGGCTCATAAAGGTATTTTTCTGGCAGTTAAGGAGATCCATGGTCAGGAGGTAGTAAGGTGTCATGGTCACCTTTTTCAAGGTGAGTGTTTGTTCAGATTGAAAACAATTTTGGCTGTAAGCATTCCCTTAGGAGTTTGCGTATTTCCTTGTTTTTGTTGTTGGGATTTGAGAGGAGTGACAGGAAGGTGTTACTTTCCCAGACACTAGAACTAGGTAAGTTCCAAAGGAGAGAATTCTAGGAGAACTTTTCTCAGTGCTGGCTATATGTTAGAGTTATCCCGGAAGCTATAAGACAAACAAAAATACCAATGTTCGGGCTCAGAACTCCAGAGGTGGCACCCTGGCACCTGAATACTCTAAAAGCTCTCGGGTGACCTCCGGCAGCGCAGTCAGGGTTAAGAGCCGTTGCTTTGGAATTTTCTAGCGTGGGAACCCTGTAGGACATTAGCTTTGTGGCATCCACGCAGGGAAATACGACCTAACAGTGCTTTCCAAACTCCCGTGCGCCCAGGAATCTGCATTTTATCTACGCAAGTAGTCGGAGTGCCGCAGCTCCAAAAATTAGGTTTGAGAGGTACCAGTCCAGGGGAGATTATGGCCAACTGGGCAGGGATGTGGAATTTTAAAAACAATTTTGTGAGTATAGACACCTCCACCTCTCAAATATGTTTTTCACTGGCTCCTCTACCCTGGGCACTTTGGGCCTGGACCACTCAGGAAGACCTGAGTGTGGCCAGGCGTGCGGCGCTGGGCGTATTTGGTTCTGCTTTCCGGAAAATTCCTTGGTGGTGGCGGCAGGCGGGCAGGAGGGAAGGCGGGCGCAGGGGCGGGGGGGGGGTTCTAGCTCCCTTTGCTCCGCCGCCGCTTCCCACCTACGCGCCTCCTTAAGCATGGGGACCGCTCAATGTCCGCCGTCCGAGCCGCGTCCGGAAGGAGCGCCAGGTGGCCTTGGGAGAGAAGCGGGCGACCGGGCAGCACGGAAAGGGCCGCAGCGCCGGTCTTCCGGCTCCCGCCGAGGGGCGGCCGCGGGTCGGGCGCGTGCACCGTGGGGCCGGCGTTCGGGCGCGGTCCCGGCAGCACCGGCCTCGCCTCGGGGCGCTCGCGGCGCCGCCCTCTCCCCGCGCCGCCGGCGCTGCCGGGGGGCGGGGACTCGCCGCTGCGGAGGCCGGAGACGCGGCGGCGCTGGGCGCACGGCGCGGACAGGCGGGAACGCGAGGCCGCCGGCGGCAGGAGAGCGGGGTGGCCTGGCAGCCGGGCTTGCAGCGCCGAGCGGCCGCCGGAGCCGCGGCAGGAGGTGAGTGAGTGGCGCGCCCTCCCCGGCGCGCACGGTTGCCGCCCTGCGCCCTGGCTGCCTTCACTCTCTTCGTCCCTGTTGAGTCCGGGGCTCGCTCCGAGGGGCTCCGTGCCGCTCCCGGGAGGCACCGCCCGGCTTATGCCCGGTGCAGCCTTCTCCCGGAGTCGGCTCGGCTCCGCACCTCTCCGCGCCGGAGCCGTCGCTTCGGGGCCGTGCGGACCCGTTGGGCTCCGTCCCCTGGCGCCGAGGGGCCATGCGAGGATTCCCTGCCCCTGCGGAGGCCAGTCTGGGACGATGCGGGGCCTTCTTTTTGTTCTTAGCTTGGTCACGGGCCTTGGTATCCAAAGCCAAAAGCGTGCGTCCACCAAAGTCGCACTGGTGCCAGTCCGGTGGCCGTGATGGGCACGAGGGCAGAGGGAGGGCTGGCCGCGCCGCTCACCTCTCCTCGTCCTCCCTCCGCCTCGCCACCCCCGGCGCGCTCGAGCCGCCACGGGTGCCCACGTTGGCAGCGGTCGTGTCCTGGCAGGTGACCGGGAACTGGGCGCCGGCTCCTCGGACCGCGCCGCCGGAGCCCAGGTGGAGTCCGTTTTAGGGATGCTCCAGGTCCTCTCCAGTATTTCCCACTTTGGGCAGTGGGAATGATCCACAAAACTTTTGCTCTGCTGTGAAAAAGTCTTCTGGGTTTATATACTCTTAAGATTTCATACCCCGTTTAATATTTATAATGGTGTTTTTTGTTTGTTTTGGTAAAGCAAAATGGGAAAAATACCTATTTTGATGAATATTAATTTTAGCAGAAGCTAAGAATCATTATTATAATCGGAATACCATGATGATGCTAGCCATTTTCAGATGTCTCATTTCTAAATTTGCCTTAGCAAACTTGTGTGGCTTTCATCATCTTGAGATTTCCTTTGTCTGGTTGGGGTCTCCAAGGCCTACAGCCTGAAATTATGCAAATGTTGAGGGACATTCCTAGGGGCGGTTTACTAAGATGTCCAGCAGCCTGATGAAATAGTTAACAGCCCTAGAGTGACTCTGTGTTTGGCTTATGGCCGTCAGATTGACTCAAATTTAGGTGGTTACAGTATTTCTGAATTATTTTGGCACATGAGATCTGGGGAGCAGTGTAATCTGGTGGAGGTCTTTGTGGGCTCCTAGGGTGTTCTGGCTCCTCCTTATGTTATAAAATATAGATAACACTAAGTTCATGCTATTGGGAAGAATAATTTTACTTTATTTATAACTAGAAATCAGTAACTTGCTAACACTTACTCTTCTTAGGCCAGAACTCAGATTTTAAGGCGTCAGTGTGAAAAAAGACATTGAATTCTTAAGATGTTTAAAGGGAGAGGTTAGCTCTTTAAGACATATTTTGTTCTCTTATGGAGAAGTGATCACATTGTCTTCATCAGTTTTGCTCAAAAATGAAAGACCCAGAATGAGAGGAGGGAGTGCTGGGGAGGGGGTGAGCGAGGGTTCGGATTGCAATCGCATTGTTATTGGGAGCTAAGGATGCCATCTGCTTTCTAACTGCTGGTCCAGTTATTGATGGGGGATGCAAAGATTCCGCATTTACATGTTTTTTCAGAGGCGGGGCAGGAACAGCAGTGTTGATGGTTGACCAGGTCAGGTCCCCTAGGCACCCTGCAGGGAGGGCACTGCTGACCTTACTGATAATGCTGTGAGTGTGCAGGCTGGGTTTCTGCATCTGAAGCAAACAGGGTAGCTGGGCAGAGCCTGGAGAAACTGCCTCACAAGGGAGAGTTGGAAGAGTGGAGTGTCGACAAGCAGGCTGTGATGAACAGGGAAGTAAGGCTCCTTGACAGGCACTTTAGTGAAAGGGAGCTTGAAGGCACCGTGGTCCCTGAAGGCTATCTCCCCCTTCTAAAACTGCCTAGGGTGACCAGGAGGGAGAGGGGGAGACTAGGATGAGGAATGAGAGCCCCTGTGACCTGGGCTTTAATTCATTTGTATTGATATTGTTATGGGGTTTTTTTTGTTTTGGTTTGGTTTGTGTTAATCCTCACTAGAGGATATTTTTCCATTGATCTTTAGATAGAGTGGGAAGGGAAGGAGAGAGGGAGAGGGAGAGGAAAAGAAAGAGAGGAAGGAAGAGAAACATTTCTGTGAGAGAGAGACATCAGCTGGCTGCCTCCAGCACAACCCCAATCCCGGGCTGGGATGGAACCTGCAACCAGGTACATGCTCTGGACTGGGAATTGAACCTGCAATCCAGGTACATGCTCTCGACTGGGAATTGAACCTGCGACCCTTCAGGCCAATGCTCTAACTGCTGAGCCAAACCAGCCAGAACTTGTTAGTATGTTTATCTTTAGGAAAAAGTAAGTTGCCCTAGGAAAAGGTTCATTCTTTTTCAGTGACCTAACATAGGAAATAATATCCATAATTGGGGTAAGAAAAAATATATACTTTTTTTTTTTTTTGTAAACAACTCCCTTCTCCCCCAAAACAGAAAACTTTAAAAAAAGTTAAAAAAAAAAAAAATTTGCAAAAGTAGAGGAATGGTTTTGATATGAGTTTGCTCTCACCTTAGGAAAGTGTGAGTAGTATATTTCACTTGCCCCCCAAAAAGCGTTCTTTGGGTGTACTTTTTTCCCTACATTTTCAAGTTACTGATGAAATTATATTAAGAGAGAGTTGGCTTGGAGTTAAGGAAGTGTTTCCTAAATTCCCAGAGAGTCTACTCTGCTTCACACAGAAATTTCCTATACTTGCAGAGAAAAAAAAAAAGTACTTACCCTCTCAGATTTTTTACATTTTGATCTTATTTTTCTTTAAAACCCTCAGGGCTGTATTCATGATACCTCCCCCAGCTAAGATTTTTGAAGATTAATTAGTACTTGACAGGAAGAAAATAGAGGTAAAAGTACTGTATGATTACAGTGGTGTATTTTGTAGTTTTACTGTATGATTACAGTGATATATTTTGCATTTTTCTGTGGTTTCCAAATTTTTTTGATCATTCTCATTAGTAAAAAATTTTTAACACCTAAAACTAACATGATGTTATGTCAATTATATCTCAGTGAAGTAACTTTTTAGCTTTCCCCATACACATACCCATGCTTTTGTTGTTATCTTGTATCTAAAAAGGCCCAATATACCTTAAGGCTGGATTCATTGTTAATAACCCTGAAGGTAAAACCCTATTTCAAATATTGCTTCTTGAATTTTGAGTATTTCTGGCCTGTTCTGGTCAGATCACAGTTTTTTACTTCATAATGTGGCTCGTGCAAAGCTGGCTCAGGGCGAGAGCATGCACCTCCAAGGCTTGGCTTGTGTTTGCCTGCGCTTCATTTATTAGTTTAATTAATCTGTGCTTTTTATAGGAATCGGAAAGCTTCACCTCCTCTGTAATGTTGTTTAGTTATAATGTGCAGTCCACCTCACTGTGCAAGTCCTGAAGGCAAAGGAACGCCTCCGGCACTTTGGAGGGCTAGTGACCTTATGACCCTGGCCAGAGAGACTGACTCAGTGAGGATGCAGAGTCAATTTCTACTTTTATTAGCATGGTTAGTCTTTTGTGGTAGTATAATAAATTGGTATAATATAACATAGTATAAAACATTTAGCATAATTAGTATATGCATAATATATCTTTAAGTTATTATACATAATACTTGCGTTACTGAAATATAGTTGCTGTCCTACTTTTTGGATAAAAATAAATGTAACTTCTGGAATACCCTTCCCCAGCTCTGTGGAGCATGTTTTGCACCCTCTGGGATGCATGAGCTCTGCTGTAGACAGCTGGTTTTTTATTTTAGCCTCCGGCAATTCTTTCATTTGCTCATCAGAATAACCCCATGAAGACGGGTCCAATTGATCTCTCCCCTTTTTAAAATCAGTAAGCTGAGACTAACAAAGGACAAGTAATACCACAACAGTCCCTTTCAGTTAAGTATTTACTTGGTAGCATGTAAATGCTCCCATGTAATTTTCACACCAACCTTAGGAGACAGACACCAAGATTACTCCTTTACAGACAGTTCCAGAGGGCTGGGAGAAGGTGAGTGACTGTCGGACACCCAGGGAAAAACGGGTCCTCACAGGGTACTCCATCTCCTCTCAATTACCTGCCCAAGGCTCAAGATGGAGACCTGGGTCTTCTTTGTGTCCTTTGAGGACAGAGATCTTTCTTTCCAGCGCAGAAGAGCACCTTGGAGTCTGAGTGAGTGAGTTCAGGTTTTTTCTCTGCTTCATGAACATACCTGTGGTATGATCATTTTGTTTTAGGGGAAGCGGTAAAATGCCACGATTTCATCTGGGAATGCCAAAAATACAGCTTCAAAACTTGCTAATACTACTAATGTACATCTTCCTTACATCTTAATTTTTTAATTGTTAGTGTTTGACTTTTGTATTAAAAATATGCTCATTGAGGAGAAAAGACTGTATAAAGTAAAAAATGAAAGCTTCATGTCTTCTCCTCTCCTCTCTACACTCTACTCTCACCATGGCTTGAATGTCTCTTTCCTCATAAACATTTGCTATATGTTTTCTATGGATAGAAAAATATGTTCATTTATTGAAGATGTTTCACATTTTTTTTCCAGCAAAGATGGGATTGTGTGATAATATTTTAGAACTTTTTTCACTCAACAGTTTGTATTTTGATTATCTGTTGCTCTCTAGCAAATCACCTCCAAACTTGGAACTGTCATTTTATTATTGCTGCTTGCGTCTGTGGTTGCCTGGGCTCAGTGAATGGTTCTTCGGCTGCAGGTGATAGTGGCCAGGGCAGCAGTCTTTTGAGGCTCATTTGGGCTGGAAGTTCAAGATGACCCATTGGCTATTATCAGTTTTTAAAAGGTTTTGCCTTGACAAATTTTTAGAAGAGACAAAATGATATACTAATAAGTGATTTAGGAAAAAATAATAATTATAGTTCTTTGATTTCAGTGCTCTGGGAACTGAAAGGTCTAGCCCACCACATCTTGGTCTCTGTTCGTTATAGCTGATGGATTATTCCTTCT